ATGAGACTGTCAGCCTGAAAGCAATGTTATAAGAGTTTTCCCTTTTCTCTGTCGACAAATATCTTGCTTTTCAGAGTGATTATTACATTTTAGCCCTCAGAAATCCAGACGGATTATCTGTGCCTACATTTCTAACCACGTGAAGGAAAAGTCTGAACGCCTGAAAAATCAACCCAAAATCACACATTGCGTCGAACTTTCACCAGACAGTTGTGGAGGATTGGAAACAACTTTATTTTGAAAATCCCCCTCACCGGAAGCAGATGCTCTTACACTGAAGTGGAAGTGCACAGATTGACCTGTGTATCTGCAGACTTCTTCTGGACTCTTTTCGTCTGCATGCTGCCTTAAAGGTTAGTCGGCTGCTCGTTACGGTCTCTGTTAACGTTACCTGTGCTTTTGGTTAGTGTGCTTGGAAAGTATGGATTATTTCTTTTTTTACAGGGTGTATAAAACCGCTAACTTAGCGAGAATGTTGACACAATTCTTATCATAATAAACTTCGCAGTGTTCGTGTGGACGAAGTTGTTTAAAAGGAAAAATACACTTAGTCTTATGAATAAGATGTTAATTAAGTAAGAAATGTTATTTGAGTAAGTAATTAAGTAATTAAGTATCGCTGCATAGTGGGGGAATATGATAATTTACAAGGGAAATTTAAATTAAACAATTGGAGAGTAATTGAGACCCTACTCAATCTAAGATGATGCTTATAAACTTCCATACTATATAGCAGATTTAATATCCACGGGTATTATTTATGTGTATTTATAAATCAGATTGCTGATGATTTAATGCAATGCTTAATATCTGCTGTTTTTCTATGTAGAAAAAATGGCAGCGAAGCATGCCAAGCCCAGTTTCAGTGAGTCTCAGGTGTCTGAGCTGGTGAAGAGGCTCTTCAACCTGACACCTGTGGAGATTCGCTCGCTGCCCAGCTACGACGACCAGAACTTCTACGTGGCGCCCGCCGAGGGCGGCGAGTACGTCCTGAAGATCATGAACTCGGAGGACAGCAAGAACGCAGCCATCATCGAGGTCCAGACGTACGCCATGTCCTTCCTGCACCAGAACGGGCTCCCGGCTCAAACCGCCGTGCCCAGCACCTCGGGAAAGCTCATGAGTCTGGAAGACATGGGTAAGAGACCAGGGTCCGAAGACTGAGCCTATCCTAGCTGACCCTGGGGCCGGTCACCCGTCCAACACAAACATCCACGTACACTCACATTCACTCGTAAAGATCCCAGCGGTTGGAAAACACGACAGCTATCACCAGCCGTCACAAACTGATACGTTATGGACATGTCTCCATGGCTAGTATAGAATCTGCTGACATTTTTGTGTGTGTATTGGTGGAGGAAAAATAGTAAGAACGTGCAAACCGATGACCTTCCCGATGTGAGGCAACATTGATTCCAGCTGTCAGAACTGGCTAAATTCTAAATCCAATATAATCTGCATGTTATTCTTTGACCTTTGATCTACCAGCAACCTGATCGTTTTTTCCGTAGAGATTAAAAAAAAAGCTTAACTTTTCGGCGTGTCGCTTGATTGGCATATTGGACAGTATGCATTATATATCATTAGTACATGTTGCATGTTGATAATCTGTAGGTTGCCCAGGGCTGGTTGCTGTTTTGACAGGTCTCATTAAAGATAAATGGTGCCTCACCAATGACGGAGGCAGAATGTTACCTCCAGCCTCAAGCCAAACGACTTAATTTGTTGCTTTAGTGTGATGTCCTCTCGTAATGAGAAATGTGCCCTTGAATGAGGCCACGGAACACGTGCAGGTTCTCATCATTCATACGCCATGAAATTGGGGAAGATGACCAAAAAAACAATTGCGTCTCTGTTTTCACAGATTGTGGCTATGGCTGTCAGAAGTACCTGGTGCGGCTGTTGACTTATTTACCTGGGGTCACCATTTCTAAAGTTCCCTTAACTCCAAAGCTGTTGTACGAAACGGGAAAGACTGCAGCTAGAATGGATGAAATCCTCCAGACGGTATTACAATAACACCATCACCAGATACCAAATCTAAATTGCATTCCAAAAAAATCTCCGAAACGACTGCATGCGTTATTTATTAATAACAAGGGCTGAGTAAATAAACTCTGGTCGTGCTCTGTTTGCTTTGCTGGTGATTTTTCCTTTTAATGCGCCATCATTTAGCTTTTGGTGTCTTTTCAGATGGAGCACCCACACCTGGGCGTTCTGCAGAGGGAGAACTTCATCTGGAGTCTGTCAAATGTGGTCCTCCTGGAGCCGTACCTCAGAGTATTAGATGGAGATCCTCTGCAGAAGCTGGTGACGTCTATCATCCATCAGTACAAGACCTCCGTCGACCCCAAACGCTCCCAATTCCGCAAGTGTGAGTATGATCCTAACTTTACCGATTCCCCGCCCTGTACTTTTGAGTTCCCCTTATAGATTTGTTGTTTTGAACCAAATTCAACCTCTCAGAGGACTCTCTGAGCATCCTCACTGATATGATGCGCTTTTCGTCCGATCAACCACAGCCTTTTTTTTGTTTTTAAGGCATTAATCACGGCGACTTCAACGATCTGAATGTGCTTGTTCAGCCTGACGACGATGGCGGACACAAGATTTCCGGCATCCTGGACTTTGGAGACATGAACAGCGGCTACTACATCCACGAGCTGGCCATCGCTATCATGTACATGATGACCGAGCACCCAGAGCCCGTGGAGGTGGGCGGGCCGGTGCTTGCCGGCTGGGAAAGCGTCCTTCCCCTCAACGAGGCGGAGAAAGATTGCCTGTACCTGCTCGTGCTGTCCCGCTTCTGCCAGTCGTTGGTTTTAGCCCGTTACTCTGTGACCCTGCATCCCGAAAACACAGAGTACCTCATGATTTCCTCCAAGAGGGGGGTGCACATCCTCAAGAAACTCTGGGAGCTTGGAAAGGAGCATGTGGAATCCGTCTGGTTTCAGAGTGCGGCCCGACTCGGCGATAAAATGTGAGAAACGCTGAGTATGGAGAAAGCAGAAGGGAAGGTTCCACACAGCTTTCATTCTTCTGAATCAAAGACAGCTAAAGTTCAAAGAAAAAATTGTCTTTGAACAGTACAGCAATGCAAATTTCATATCTATCGTATCAGACAAGGTGTAAGTGACTTTAAATATACTCCAAAGTACTTCAAATGAGCTAAAAGGTTTTGAGCTTTTAAATGGAATCATACTACCTCTCAAAAAATGCAAAGCTCCACATTATAACGGTACAGATACTGCCAGTGATGGCAATGAGTAAGAAGTTCCATATAAGTGGGGAAATGGTTCACATTTTGTATTTCCATAAAAGATTCTCAAGCTATTTTTTTCTTTCAATACTATTGTCTTCCTCTAAAGAAGACTGTTGGTGCTTTCTTGATCTGGGTCCAAATGATAACACTATCATAAATGGTAAATTGACTGTACTTTTAACAAACTTTTGCTTGTGCTTATGACCTCTAAGAGTTTGCTTATTAATATTTATTTACAGACATACTTATAGAAGCAGATCTGTTATGCTGATGAGAGAGAGAAGCTGCACGTGCAGTCATCCGGTTAACAATTTCAAAAATGTTTAACTGGACCATTAGACTATCCTAACTTTTGTACCTATCATGTCTTTTATTCTGTGCCTTTATCTGTTGTCAGGTAAATAATTAATCTTTATGGTCTTTGGCTGACGTGTTAAATTATGTCTTTGGAAAAACCTTTGAAACGAAAAACACTTTAATTAAAAAACAAAATAAAATGAAATTTGAAATTTCCATTTTTCTCTGTTGTCTTAGTTAAGTGTCTCTGTCTTATTCTTTGCTGAAATCCATCTAAACTGCTGTAGAGTGTAATTCTAGGCTGTTTGCAGGTTTGTCAGAGAGATCAACTTTCTGGTCAGTCCTGTTTTTAACAAAGCATGCTACACGACTTAAATCAGACATTAAGATTTTGCCATCTCAGATGCAACATTTCCAATAAAATATGGGGTGACGCTGCTCTCATGTGGTCAGCTTTAAAACCTTCTACCGAAGGCAGCAACAGAGATAAAAACAAACCAAAAAACCCAATCAAACCCTGTACACGTGTTTCAGAAAGAGACTGATTTTTTTTAGTGTCAACCTGGCCAAAAACAAACATCTGTGCTGTGTTAACTTTCCTTTTAACCACTCTCAGGCTCAACCCATAAATGAATGGTTTAGGTCATAGGAGTTGTTTTAACTGTTTGAAATGATGGGGATTAGGGGTTTGTAGAGTGTAGTGGGCACATTGTGTTTTTTTGGTTGTGTGGCAGCTGGTGGCTCTGAAATACTGACACAGCTACTGTCATGGAGACACTGAGGAAACTGAAGGCTTGCAGACAGTCAAGATACTGACACTGAAAACATCCTGGCTTCTGACTGCCATTTGAAGGAAACCTCATAATCCACCCTGAACTACTTCAAGAAATGCGAGCAGAAGCTTTTGGAGAGATGGTCACAGTCTCCTGACAGAAATACAGCTGAAAATCTGCTGGTGGATGTTCCACGAGAAGCTCGCACAACGCAGCCTAAAAATATAGCAGTAATCTGTTTAAAAATGTCAAAGGGAATTAAAAATTGAAAGCCTCTTAGCTTGCTACAAAAAGCATTTGCCATGGTATTTTGCATGTGACACTTTTCTATATAATTTTAGGATCATGAAATATTACAGGACACTGATATTTTAAGAGAGACTCTCCACCATTGTGATGTTTCACCTCTTTTTCAATCCCAAATCAATTTTTATCTGTCTCAAATGCCTTGGCATGCCCAGACTTTAATCTATTTTTTACATGTGGGCTTGTTCTCCTGGCATATATAAATAAAATGTAAAAAACTGTTTTATGCTTCTGTTACCTAGAACAGAACTGTGTAAACAGCTAGAAATGTAGTGACTGAACATCTGCCAAAGAAAAGGGAACCCTAATCGTTCTGCCACAGTTCCGTCACAGCATTATCCAGTGTGTGATTTAATTTTTTGAGGTTAGAAAAGAAAAGTCAGAAGTCATTATTGTGGAACAACACTCCTCGGGCTAAATCCCACTTACAATAGACAACACACTCTTTATCAGATGATAAAATTAAATGTCATTGCGTCAGTAGAACTAGAGTAAAATCCTAGAATACATTCATTGTACCATGTTATTTTCCGATTTTCTATCTTTGGATCTATGCAGAGTAATAAATGAAGTCAAAAGGTCAACAAAATATGTTAAGTTATCTTACTCCCTCTTTAATTAAGTCATGACTAAACCCAATACTGTTATACATCTGCTGAGTATGAAAATGAGATGATCTATTAATCAGTCGCTCAATGCTAGGTTTGCCCAATTCTGCTATCAATCTTTTAAAATGACCATAAATGACTGTTACAAATGGCTCATAGTGATTTAGTTGTGGTTTATGTTTGGATGTGGCTGAACATGTTAATCTGTTGCACTGCTGCAGGAGCACCTCTAAGTTTACTGACAGTAATTCACATTGATCGATGCCTTCTTATTGGCATTCTGCTGTAAGGAATAATACCCATCTGTATTCAGAGGGCTCGGCGCTCTTTTGACCGAGTCCTGGGATGGGGATTTTTTAGTCCCAGAAGCGTCCGAGCATAGCCAGCTTTATTTTTGACGTTGAATTGGGATTTCACACATCCTGGTACTTACATTTTCCTCCTCTGCGAGGTAAAAACTGACCTTGGCTCAGTCTTGAAAATAATTAGCGCATTGCTCAGTGGAGGATAAACTAGAAAATCACTCACCGTGGATTCATGGATATGCACAACAAGCACGCACAGCCATTCTGCTGCTGTAAACAAAGAGCTTATAGGCGGGAAATAAGAGGCGGCGGAGGGGGAAAGGGACCGTCATTCGGTTAATTGTTTTACAGACACATCCACAACCATCCAATTATCCACTGTGGGCATGCCAAATCTCCCATGAAGTTTGAATTCAGCCTTCGGGAAACTTTAATAGTAACCTTGGGTTTCAGTGGAAGAAAGCGACTCGCTAGGTTTGCTTTGCATTAAAGGTTGTGCTGTGAAATCCTCCGGATGCTGTGAGCGAAACAAAACAGCAGCACAGGCTTCTCTGCTCAGACCAAACCAGTTCTTCACAGGGCATTATTGACTTAGTTAAAGTAATCAAAAGGCCTCATGTTGACTTGAAGTAAAACATGGCAAGCATAATGCTGTGCAGCTCCACTGTCCTGCTTGTCGGCTGGCTTTTGTCTTTTTATCGACTTTGTAATTACTCATTTGTAAACTCTGCATTGAATTCCTGGGTTGAAGAGTATTAACTCCAGTAGAGGCTGGTTGAAGTAGTGTTTAGTTCTCATTTGTGTCTATTTCATTTGGGGGAATACAATGTTTATGCATTTAGCAGATGCTTTAATCCAAAGAGATTTACAAAGAGAACACAACATTACATTTAACATTCAGTAAGATTAACATTACAGCTATGATTATACATGCTGTTCTTTTAAGTCGCAATTTCTTGGTTTGTCTTGTTTTTTATGGATCCAGAGAAAAACCATAATGGAGTTTTCTGAGGTGACAGCCTTTTGTGCTCATAAATCTTACTGGATTTAACCAGTTGTGGGCAATACTGTAAAGGCGCCATACGAACTCAGCCGCACGCAAAAATAGCAACATACCGCAGAAACTGATCTCCACTGAAGATGATTTACTTTAAATTCACCCTATAAATCAACACACTGTCTTTTCTATGTCAGCATGCAGTGCTTTCCTTAACAATTATCCTTAAAAGAGACGGAATATCTAAACATCTTTACAAATTGAACAACGCTGTCCTTATCAGGCTATGAACATTTATTTTTCATTGTGTTTGTGCCAGGCCAACAACTTTTCTCTCAAGTTTATGATGATAATTCAAAATGTCATTGGTGGTCACAGTTAAATGCTTTTGGATGGATGACGAAACACAGTCTCCTCTGACCTCGCCGTTACCTCAATTTCGAGACAACATTTTTTTTTTCTGAAGCACAGTAAAGGTGGTCAGTTGTTCATTTTAGAATCAAGAGAAGGACAGTATGAGCTTCTGTCAGCAACATCCTGTTGTAAGGTGTGAATGTTGATGCTGCATCTGTGACTGGAAATTCCAGCTGATATTCTTTTAACAGAGAATTTCTCCTCTGCTGTGGGACCCTTGAAGAAAGTGAGAAATGCAATAAATCCATCTGCAGGATTTCAGGTAATGCAGGTCTCAGCGTTCAGTGCAGGCTTGTTAAGCTTCCCCGGCAGTGAGGTCTCAATCAAGTCAACTGTTTATAGTGGCACAGATGGGGGATGTTTAGGTAACCAGGTTACATTTTTCTAGCTTTCCAGACAAGATTATGTTTAGACTTAAACATAATGGACGCTGAATTAATAGTTCCGTGTGGTTTCAGTTAGTCAGCAGTATCAACTGTCAATGTTGGATGTATGTGGATGGAAAAGTGCTTGAGGGGATTAAGAAATCAGACAATGCACACATTTGACAGGCTGGATACATCAGCAGTAAGAATAAAGAGATTTACAGCTACTATTAATGGAAACGGTTCCTCTAGCTCTGCCCAGTATGGGGTGCAGGCCTTTATTTAAATAGTACTGCTGATGTAATTTCATTACAAGTAATTATTTTTACTTTATCGGTAGTTATTAACATAATTTTCTGTATATTTTGGTAATCAGCGAAGCCTATCAGGTAAGACTACATTTTTCGATGTGTAAGCACATGTGCAATCAATCTTTATGAATGTACGTGGTTTCAGAGCTCCTTTGCTGTGGTCAAGAAGGCCATCAGAGCAATGAAAGTTAATCAAATCGCTATTTTCCAGATCTGAAAACCAGAACAGTAAGTTGACAGAGGATACAAAGATCCAAGGGGCTTGCTTCCCTTTGAAACCACCCAACCGGAGACTTACCATTTCCCGTTAACCATAATTTAATTTTAACGATGCACTTTGTAAAAGTTGGATGCAGTCATCCACTGTCAACAGCACATTGACAGCAATCACAGGATCTGGATAAAGTGCAGTAGCAGCACTTTGAGGTGCGACTTTACACCTTACACACTGGCCGACATGACATTAATGCATTCATTCATTCATCAATGCAACACTTCTTTGAATAAATATGACCCTTTAACTTAAATTACCTAAGAAAACATTCTAAACTGTAACACTAGATGGCACTATCATCCCACTCATTTGCACCCCCTTCGCACAGATCATTTTAAGTGGTTTAGTCTTGAAGCTCACATTCTGGTTTCGAAACATTTGTCATTTTCTCTCACAGCTGAGAGGTTTTGATCAGACTTCATATTTGTTTGTGAACACGGAATATTTCTGCGCAAAAGCTGGTGTGCTCGGAGAACCTAGTCATCACTGTGAAATTGTGCACATCTTAGCATATAACAGAGGACCGAAATAGCACCACGATGATGAAAATGCTGAAACGGCTGTGAAACAA